GCAGCCTATCACCGATGTGTACGTGAGAAGAGTAGGGAGACCGAGATGTGAGTGGATCACTGAAACTAGAGATAAGGCTTTTCACTTGTTGGGCGGCCGCTGTGCAATCACCGGACTTGTACACAATCCCGCTGTCTGGCACCGCATGGTTGGTCAGCTCTGACCCGTCCACGTGCCGCCCGGCGTATGACCGAACGTCTGACTAAGGTCCGACTTTAATCACGCGGAGCTAGCTCAGGAAATCAATGTCAAAGTTGGCCAGATGTTCAGAGCCTAAAAGTCATGATGTTCCTGAGGAAGTTTAAAAGCCCTAGTCATGGAACTGGCTCATCCTCACAACTGCTTTTGGATCTTTGCAACAGACCCTGCCCAACCATTGCTGGCGAAATGCCGTTCTTACTTATGAATGGTCCCCAGCTTGAGGTCCGTGAATAATTTGCCGGAAGAGCATTGCAGTGCATTGCGTAGAATTGGTTGCTTCCTGAAATAAAAGCTCCCCGACGAACGCGCATTCAAGTTTGGATTGTCCTTCCTTGCTCTCGTAGAAATAGAAGAAACGTACTCGCAACAAAATGAGCCGATCATTTTGTGAGCTCAGGTGCAATGTCATGCTTAGTTCTGACAGCTAAATATGGATGAAGCGTTCGTACTGCAATTGCACATAGAGTACTTGCGATTTGTTTTAAGTCACGATGGTCTACAACTGCAAGACCTTGGTCGGAGAATTGTGGTGGCAACGTGGGGTTGTGTTGAATTCCCAACAGTTTGGAAGTGTTCATCACATTGCCTCGAGCTGGGACAGATCAAACCTTCAAGGCTTATCGAATCGCAGTGTCGCATCCCCTTCTGCTGATCGTTGACGGCTGGGTGGTTCTCAAGACCACTTCTTCTGACGTTTTTTTGGCATGCTTCGGCGTTCATTTCGAGAGTGCCTAACACGGAAGTTCTGCGCAGATCGCTTCGTGCTGTCGCCACCGGTATGCTTCTGGAACGACAACTCCTCATTTTTGGCAAAGTGGTGAGGTTGCCATACAACCACGTGTTGCACGTTTCTGCATTTATCCCCTGGAAGACTGCTACCAGCATTCAGGGACGCGGGAGATCACGATGAGACTGGGTTCCACATCTTGGGGACAAAGCATGCCAATTCTTTGCAAGTAACTGTGAAGCAAAAAGACTTGCACAGAATTAGTCACTGAATCCTGACGTGAGGGCTCAGGGCTTCACAACCTGCCACTCGACATGTCTGCCACTCCACCCCAATCCTGTAGGCCCTGCAGTCTCCAGGCAAGTTGGGCTTGAATTTCTGCTGGCAGTTTTCAGCGTCTCCAGGAGCATCCAGCCGACACACCCCAATTTGCAGTGGCCAACGCCACCCTACCTGCTATGCGTCCCCGTGCTCTTGTGAGTGTCAACTGGGCCGTTGGCCGCTTCGGCTGCGCTGCTGCAGTGTGCGAGCCTTCTGTGAGGCCCAGAAGCAGAGCGTGAAGATGTATTGCTGCCACTTCCGCATTTCGCCCAGCATGTCAGTTGTCAGCGTGGAGAGCCTCCAGATAATCTTCAACAGTTTTCTGCGTCATTGTTGTTAGCAATCAGGCTCATTCTGGCCGCAGCCGACGCTGTGTGCAATCGGAGCAAGGCTTTGCCTTGGCTTCCTTGATGGAGCGTCATTCTCGGCCATTTGACAGTTGACGGCCCAGTGCTTCAACGTCATGCTCATGGGCTATGCCAGGACGGCATGCTCAGAAATCTTTTTTTTTTTAATGGCTGGTGCTGCTCATGCCCGTGATTAGTGGTCAAGGCGACCTCGGCTGCTACCGCGCTTAGATGAGGCTCTTGAGGCGGGTTTGAGAATCAGAAATGAACGCAAACATCGACAGCCCACAGGAAGGTGCGCAGCTGTCAGCGCCACACAGTCCTGCAATTGAGGAGAAATGTTGCTGCAGATGCGATGCTACGTTGGCCAGAAACTGTGCAGGATTCTTCGGAACTGCGCTCTGCATCCAGGATGCCTTGAATTGTCTTCAAGAATTCTTTAAGAAAACTTAGGCTTTGGATAGCTCTGAAATGTCAGTTCAGGAATTCGCAGGAGTCCTCCAGCCTCTCCTCAGGACCGCAGTATACCGCAGTGCTGGGCAGAACCCCTCTTCGGGCGATTTGAGGAATGTAAAGTTGTCGGGCTTAAAGATCGGCAGCGATTAATGGACCACCCGCCTCATTAACAAAGCTGTGAGAGCTTGACCACACCTTGTTCACGAGCAAGTTCTGCTGGATGGGAATCTGGTTCTTTTTCTTCTGACGTGTATGTATGCTGTTGCTTGTACACTGCCCCTGTCCTGTTATTCATTGGAGGAGAGGAAGTGGATGACGCGAAGGTCCCAATGAAGGCATCGTGCAAAGTTTCAGCGCAATGAGAACCACTGCATGCGGCCATGCGGCCTGCGGTCAGGCACTGCTGGTCTCGCACCTCTTGGCTGCGGATCGAATGCGACGGCATCCTGATCTGTGGGAGGTTTTTGCATTGTGAAAGTTCGGCAATGAATCACGAATGCATCTTCTCAGGAGTCGGCGTACTTTGTGGACAGCTTGTGGGAAGCAATAATGAAGCGGGTCCACCCGACCAAGGCCGGATGCTGCGGATGCTGGACTGTGAGCGGTCTTAGCATTTCAGCAGGTCTCCCACTTCTCTGTGTTGTCCAGCGGAGCGCTTAGCAGCTAAGCTGAGCCTCGCATGGAAAGTCTGCTAGTGAAACTGTGCAGCTGAGATCGTATTGAACTAGCCGACGCAACCGTGGCTGCGCAGGCCAAGTAGTGCTAGAACATGCCACGAAAATGCCGAAAAGATGCAAACCCAAGATTCAATCAGGTCACAATCGAACGCTTTCGCCTGCAGGCGGGAGGAGGGGTCGTCCCAAAACAGAGAGGGAACAAGTAGGAGTTCTTCTGTTCATCAGCTTTGCCTTCTTTTACTTTTTCCCTTGTTTTCGCGAGGTGCCGGAGGCGATGGTCGCGTCTGCACTGATCGAGGTGCAGCCGGGTGGGGCTCCGTGTGACTCTTGTTGGCATATGTCACATGCTGTTAACACTGTCCGTGTTGTCTCTTGTTTTCGCCTGCTGCTGCAACAAAGGATTCAGAAAAGCGCAGGAAGGAGGGTCATGCACTTGTCCCAGTGGCTCGTGGCACTTCATGCGTCCCTCGCTGTTTGGTTTGAAAAGCATATGCCAGGTTACCAAAGAAGCAGTGGAGACCATCATGCATCTGTGGCAAGAGTGTGGTGGGGTTCTGGGTCTCCAAGAGCTCGCTCGGAAAAGACGGAAGATGTCTGCGATGTCTTCAGGTGGTGCTGCGAGCTTGTGCTGCATGGAAAGTCATGCAAGGAGCTCAGAGTTTGGCAGCGAATGAATTTAAAGCGAAGCGGTCTTTACTCCCGGAGGCACTGTGGGCAGCCCTTTGGGCACTGGCATTGGAGCGTGGCTATGAAGTGCAGCTTATGGGCATGTAGCTCAGCCTCTGACAAGGCTTCTGAGCTGCTGTATCTCTCAGCAGATCTTGTGTGAAGGTCGATTCTTTGACATATTTGACGAGTCCTGGGGCTCAGTGCGCAGTTGGGCATGCTGTGTACGAAGCAAATCCTTTTAGGTGCTACTCTTCTGCCTTGCTGAGATCGTAGAAGCTATTTCCCAGCCAGGTCTGGTGATGGCTCCCTCCAGCCTGCCTCCCAGGGAGTTATCCGGCGCAGCCATGTCCGCGCTATCCCGTCCGCGCAGGTATGATGAGTTTGTCAACTTCATGGCGCACATAGCGCCTGCAGTCCCTGAGGCATGCTCATACGAGGAGCCCAACTGAACTGAAACCGTGGGCATGCAGCTGCAGGCAGACTGCGCATCCTTTTTCATGGCTGTCGCGGAAGATACTTCAGCTGACATGACGCAGGAGGTGCCTGTCCTGTCAGTAACTCCTTCATGCACACCTGCCGAAAATGCATGCAAGGTGTTCTTGAATTTAGTTCAACGCGTCGGAGTATCGTCTGACCTGGCCCTGCCCTCATCCTATTGCTGTGGTCAAAGGGGTTGAATCATTTCTTGGCTCCTCGCTTCCATTTTACATTCGCAAAGCGGCCGGCATCATGCAGTTCTTCCATGCCATTGTTGTTTTTTTTTGTGCTTGCTTTCTCTGTGGTAGGCCTTTTTGGCAGTCTTGTTTTGAGGATGGATTGAAGAGCTTGGTGGATAATCGCGAGAGGAAGGCAGAATTGCAGAGTTAAACAACATCTCAGCAGATCGCTTGACACCATTGGCCTAGGTAAACTGAGACTTTGTGCGTGGCTCGGTCTTCGCAAAATTCGCTGAAGATCATTCTGTCCCAATGTTCTTGAAGAATCAGGAAACGCAGAAGGTTCTCGGACGAGCGTCTGAGTTGAGTCAGGCTCAGAATAATAACCATCGCTTCTGTCTCTTAACGCTGAAGGCGTGGAGCTCATGTGTACATATTTCGGGCGTGATCAATATGATCCCGCACTTCAGGTTGGAGCAGCTTCCTGCAACCTCCTTGTGACAGCCACATCCCTTCCCATTACATCTCGGCCGGCGTTCCCTACCGTTTCTAGCGTTTGAAGATCTTTTTCCGGTGAATGTAGAACAAAGTGCAGAATTCTTCAGACTCTAAACTATGGCGTCAGAAGCTGTCATGGGAGAGCAGAAAGCACACAGTGGGTCTGGGTAGATGGGTCTGAAGACTGGGTCAGGGAGATGCTAATGGATTCTAGTGGAAAGCACGGGCAGCAGACCACATCCTGCAGCAAATTGCGCAGGATGTGAATCTGGTTGTTAGCATGCAGTGTGCCAATCGACAGCGCATACATGCAGACTCAGCTCTTGCTTAAACAGAAAGAGGTCTGTACCTGCAGTTCAAGAGGGTCTTTTCGTTTTCTGTTCGCTCCGGATGGTCCTTTGTCCATGTCGCAGTTGTAAGAAGGTAAGAAAGCCAATCTGCCTGTGAGGTGCTGACAAGTGGTCTTCTAAGTGGATGTGCTTATCCCATTGTGGCACTGGAAGTTGTCAATGGTGTGGGACATACGGTGCTTTCCAGCAGCCGACGCCTGCATGCCGGTGCCTGACCAGAGTACCTGTGAGCACTTAGGTCATGCATTGGTGGCGTTGGAGAACCCCTGGTCCAAGGCTGGAGTCTCTGTGACAGTCATTGTTCCGAATGCTCCGCGAGCTTGGTGCAAGGGATGCTGGAACAGACGTTGGGGGCCGCAAAGTCCAGAGCAGGATCCTCTTTCCTCTTACCTGCTTTCCATGTCTTACGTGTGCAAGCGTCTTCCAAGCTTCTTCATCTCACCGACGCTGCAGTTGTTGATTGCGACAACAATTCGCCTTGCTGTTGCTAACATGTTCCGTGATTTTGACGGAAGAGGCAGTTTTCCAGCAAAACATCGTGGCTGAGGCGACATGGCCAGCTTCAGCTGCCAGGCTGCCAGCCATTCTGGATGAGCATCCAAGACCGTCACTGCCCTTCTTTGAGCGACCGTTAAGCGGCTTGCATGTTCAGAGCAAAGCTGGACTAGTTTCATTGAAGGTAACCTGCTTTACGTAGAGAAAGCTGTTCTGCCAGGGTCATCCGTTTTTATTATGTACGCGCATCATCAAGTGCTACGAAGGACTTCTGCCAGCACTTCACCGATATTGCTCAGGCCAAGCTGCTCTGTGTGGCCAGGGTCAGCTGCGCACGTGCCTACATCATCACCTATGCACATTTCATTCCAGGCACGGCTGGTCCCAGAAACTTGGCAATCTGCTATGGCAGGACTCTCAGCAGGGTTCACAAGATCAACCACTTCAACGCTAAGTGCTGTCCCAGGTTGCAATGTCAGAGGAGAGGCCAAGTTATCCACTTGTCTCGGTGTCATCGCCAACCCAGGCCTGTTTTGAGTTGCTGAGGGCGATGGTGATTCTCTTCGTCTTATAGCTACGCTCAGTTGTATGCTATGCTGCTTCGATCTATTCCGATTTAGCGGGCAGATATGCCAGAGTTTTGCAAGATTTTCAAATCCAGACTCCCATGTGACTGATCTGGTCTTGCCTTGAAGGCGGTCTTCATACTCTCGCAAGCTGACCCGCTTCAAAGGCAAGACCTGTGCATGACAATCAGCTTGCAAACCATTGCGGTCTCTCTGACCACGATACTGTGTTTGATTCCAGCTGCATGGTATGGTGGACGCCGGTATGGGTGGCGTTACATGTTGGGTGGACGTCCTTGAACGCTGCTCACAAAAAGCAGGAGTAAGTGGCAAATTCCGTATGAAGATCCTGCCTGTATTTGACTCCAAGACATGAATATTAGGGTTTTTGCGGGAAGATTCTTCGGAGTATGTAGCTGTGTCATTTCAACTTGTCAGGATCATGAGGGTTTTCTGTACAAGAAACAATTTTCGCCGCTTCGAGCCAACTGCTGGTGGTCCACGAACCTTGGTGAATCATTTGTCTCCGTATGCTACCTTGTCTCCGTGTATATCTCATTCGGCTGCCTGATGATCACGGCCTTGCTTAATAAACCTGAAATTTGGGCAATCCGCTGAAAGCAGGAAAGCAATCTCGCTTGGGCTGCGAATCTATCGGTGTCGCATAGTGGCGCCGCCGCAGCATGCAACAGGCACTGCAAGTGTAAGGCTGTTGGACCTTGTCAGTGGCACATTTGAAGGCGTGAAGCAGAATGTCTCCAACCCCTTCAAACCGCTGGAGCTCGTGGCTGAGAGGCCACTGTCCCAGGCACGTTGCCCGGGAAGCCTCCTTCTCTGTGTTCCCATCGCATTGTGAATTTCTTGTTTGCAGCCGTCTGAGACCCTATTCGTCTCGCAGCTGGCAGTAAGAAGGCCTCGTCAGGGTAAACAACCAGCACGAACCGAGACAAGCACTTTAATGCAAGCGGCCTAGCATCGCTAAGCTTGCGGCCCGGCGAGAAAGGACCTGCTTGGGCCCCAAAACAAGACCTGCGTTCGGATACTGCATGCTTCCAACGCTTCTGGCTCTCGCAATGTCTCTCCGGCCTGGTCCAAGGCAACGGGAGCCATCCGGCATGGTCACGTCCTGAGCTTCTTGAAGCTCTTTGTGCATTCCAATTGCAGCGTTGCAGCATGCTTCAGGCGGTCGGCCAAACTCGAGCCAAGTCACATGCCCTGGCCTTGGGGCCTTGGACCGCGGATTCTTTCAAACTGCACTATTTGCACTGCTGCAAGTCTGCGCTATTCCCCAGGAGATTCGTGTGAATCGGCACTTGGGCACATCAGGTAGCAGGCACAGCTTCAGCCGATGGTGGAGTCGGGGATCCATGATGGAAAGAAGCCACCGTCAGGGTAGACCTTCCAAGCTACCTGAGATAAATGCACCCCATCGAAAAAGGCCTAAAGGCCTGCAATGCAGGCCGAGCTTGCAGACCAAGCGGAGCAATTCTTGCCAAGTACAGCGCAGTGAGGTGCCATGGACTCTTGCTTTTCTTGCAACTTGCAGACAGCAGCAGCATGTGTTTCAGCTTCAATACAAGGTGCCTCCGAATCCGCATTGGATGCAGTCCTTGCCTCAGGCCTAAGGTGTATGCAACGGACCACTGCAGCTGCACTTTGATTTTGAAGGCTTCTCATGCTTTGGGCTGATGTTTCAGGAGCAAAGCAGTCGTCCAGCTTGGGCCACGGACACGCCACGACCTGCTCAGAATATTGCTTCCCCATATACATAGTCGCAGGCCCATGGGGCATGGGGCTCCTTTGCCTGCATGGGCCGAGACCTAAGGAAGACACAGTGAATTCCATTGCAGGCAATGCGCATGTACCGATATTTGCTTGACCCCAGTCCGAGTTTTACAGAGAGCTCCGCGTGCGTACAGGTTGCTTTGCTCCAGCAGATGCGGGTGGATGTCCGTCGTGTCGTACGAGCTTGAGCCGGCCCTATGACAAGCGCTGTGAGATCCTGTTCTAACATGCAGAGCTGCAGAACGCTTCGGAGACTCAAGGCAAATCGGCTCGAATCGCCTTTGCATCTACGCAGGCAGTCGCTTCCTGGCGGCAAACCTCAAAATGCAGCAGCATGACTTTGGCTCAAAGACAGGCAAGCACGGCCTCGGTTGCAGTCCCTTCCCATGTGTGGCAGCCTGAGAAAAGCTTTTTGCATGTCGCACAGTGTTCACGAGAGTTGAGGCCAGCAAGTTTAGTTAGCGCCACCACATCCATGGAACAACTCCTCAAGGCATGTGGACCGTGCTCTGAACCACCGTCGCACTACCGCTGCGCGTTAATTCTCGAGTGGCCAGGGTAGTGTGGACTCTGCTCCACAGACGTTTGTCCTTGCGCAAGATACGGTGACAGGGTGCAGCCCCGAGATGATGCGCTTTCTGTCAACACGTGCTGGGAGTCCGTAGACAATTCCTTCCCGTTAAGCCCTTCCCTCCAGGCAGTGTTGGGAGAGCTGTGCACAGGCCGGGCCGTTCAGGTTGTTGCATGTTGACTGGTTAAATGAGGGCTAGTGCGGGACAGGATGCGAGCGAGATCCGCAGTGACCGAGCTCTTTTCAGGAGTGCCGCTCCTATGAGGACCTGTCATGTGCGAGCATGCTACGTTCTGAGCCAGTCGGGGGCACCAAGGTTGTAGTACCATCAGCACATCAGCCTCCAGTCTGAGACCTTGACAGACCGTGGTTCGTTGCGAGCAGGAATCTTTCAGATGTGCATTCCCAGGCGCCGCTCTTGAAGAAGCTCCAGGCCCGTTGAGCGAAGCATGGGTCGGACAAAGCCATGCGCTCAAAACATGGATTCAAGAAAGCAATCAAGCAAGCCAGACAAAGCACATCAGAGGAGGTTGAATCAAGTACACAACGCATGCACGGGAAGACATACAGGGTGAGTCAGATTATCCATTCCTACGAGCGAAAGCTAGAAACCACCCTTTCGGCCTTGTCTTGTGATGGCCTAGGTTGTATGTGAACATATGAAGGGCAATGTGCACCCCTCGAGGAGAGAGGTTGAATGCAAGTGTTTGCCCCATGCATAGCACAGGAAGAGTAGGACTTCATAGTGCAGACTGATTCAATGCAATCCTATCCTTGTCATAACAAGCCTGTTGTCGGAACATGGTCAATCAGCAACCCTATCGTCCTGTCACACTAGTGTCGCATATGCTAACCGCGGCCTAATCGAGAGAAGTACGTTAACCCACCCAGTCTGATCACATCCTCGTAGAATCACCAACCTGTTGCGTTTCTGATTCCTGCCACCGTAGCTCATGCCACAAGTCCATGCTCTATTCGCATCGCGTCACGGGTTTCCCGAAAGGCCAAAGGCAAGAGGCGACGGCAGCAAGGCCAGGAGCTAAGGCTGTGAAATTCGGCTTTTTTGACTGCATGTTTCTTCTTGTTTTTTTGTTGTTTCGCAGGTGTGCTGTAACTCGATCCTCATGGCCTCGTAGTCCTCGTCTCCGCAGCTCGGTTGGTTTTGGGATGTTTATGGGTTTTGCAAACGTCTCGTCTCCCTTTCCAGGCTTTGGCAATTCTCGTGACGCATCTCTACTAGCCAGTGGCCAGAAGCCGATCTATGCCCCCCAATTGCGTTTGTTTTGCTTGTTGTGAACGTCAGGCAGGCTTCGCGAGAGCTCCCGAGAACTTCTGAAGGTCGAGAGATAGTCGCATGTTCAGAGTCAGCTTTGCATGCTGCTGCGCGAGAGTTGCGCGAGGACCTGAAGCCACTTCGGCCAACATCCCCGTTTGATTCCTACATGACCGAGCTGCTGAAGCTTTCTGCTGGAAGTTTCCGTGTTGTACTCCAACCACATCCTGATGTTTATGAGGCCTCCTGCAACATTCGGAGCACGAAGCTTCGCCCTTTTCAATTGTCATGCCTTTTGTTGCACGCTTGAGAGCTGCTTGGTTATGTTTTCGCAGCAATGTACAGTCTTCACTGAGGCATCAAGAGCCCTCCAGCTCGCGTGCAGCGTACGTATGAGGTCAGAGCGACCCGCGCAGACGTCACAAGGACGGAGTCGTTCAAATTTCGCACCGCGCGCCCTCTACAGCCTGTAAATGCCAGCTGCAAGCCCTGAACAGCAAGTGTGCTCTACCATACAGCAACTTTTGTTCATGTGTCACCTACTGAGATGCAGAGGCCACCCACAAGCACTTCAGTGTCACAAAGTGGGCACACAGTGCCAGCTCTTGATCGGTGAGTCTCAGCTCCTTGTGGTTGAAGATCATCGACAACGCACAAATGTCCTTAGGATGACAGGAGGCCCTAGGAAGTATGGGGCTCGCCTTCAATCCCTGAACACGAACTACAGTACATAGATGCCCTGGGCAAAGGTCTGCCTTTCATCCACGTCCACACGAAAGGAATAATGACATATGGACAGGGACGGAATGCTACAGCACAGGCAGTTTCTCGTACATGGAGCTAGAAGGAATCCTTGCCTCGGGCCCTGGCAGTTGGAGAGCGCGAAGAAGTAGCAAAGGAAGCAGTTTTTTTACAGAGGTGTCTGAGAATGAGGTTGCGTGGCTGCAGCTTCGTGGTGGCAAGAGAGCTGAGACTGCCCACACTCAATACTGCATGCGCTGGATTGATAGATCTGCGTTGAAAGCATATTCACTCTTTCCAAAGATTTGCCGCAGAATTCGAATTAAGTTCAGCCTTGTCAGGGCGTTTGAGTCAGGAACAGCATTCATGTTTAGGTCTTCCATCGCTGTTTCAGCTTCTGAAACAAAGCCTCAAAATTAATTGCCATCGCTGGTATGACTAGACTGCTATGACTAGACCTTTCAAGCAAGAGTTAAGTCGTGTAATGCATATGATCAGGCGCGTTCCTGTCAGCTACAACTTTTGGATCATTTGGAATGAGTACTGTACAGCATGAGCTCTGTGACCCCTGAGAAGTCAGACGCATGCTTTTCGGTTTTAAAAAGATAGAGTGTGGATTGACTCCCTCTTTGTGAACCGCATGCTGGGATTACCTGTTGCAAAACTTTTGCAGCTGTTGCCTGACGTTTCAACCGGAGGCTCGATCACTGATGGTGGAAGTGCCAAAGCTTGAGCCGCCGCACTGACTCAAGTTGGCTCCTGTTGCTGTTCCATGCTGTTCCTGTCCACCTGAAGTCACCCGAGATGCAGGAACTGCCTGTACGTGGCTTCGATAGTTTCAACGTTCTGGCCTCAAGAGCCTTCGGGTACCATCAGAAAAGAAAAGCCTGTTTGGCTCTGAAGTTCTTTTGGAACTAAGACCAGATGCAGTTCCGGATTCGGTTCTGCGCGTGCTTACAGCGTCGCCCATGCGTTTTCGCGAGCTCTCTTTGCCAGAGTCTGCGTGCCCTTTCAAGAGCATCGGAGATGCAAAAAGCAGCAAAGCAGCAAGCATGAAGTGATTTCTTGGAGAGGTACTTCCTGCAGGCTGAAGAGCAGCTTGCAGCTTCTCGACCCCTGTTGGCTACCAAGTTTCCACTTATCTTCAAAAGCACATTACGGCTGAATACTCACAGCCTTTCCGGTTGGACCTCTTCAGGTTCTCGATCGACACTGACAGCTTCTCATCTGAGGCGAGGCAATTTCATGCCCAGCTGGCCAAGCAGGTCTGAAGACGTTCAGTCTGCAAGGCAACGACCGAATCAAGCGAATGGAGTGTAAACGCTTGTTAGCAAATGCAAGCAACATGCGCCAGCCAGAGTCAACTTTTTGTCTGATTGCCCTACAGCTCGACCCTTGCACACTTGCCGGACTGTAGCGGCCACATTCCGGGCCAAAACTCGGCCTCATTCGCCAGAAGCCCGCCCGGCTTTCGCCATAGCTTGCCAGAGACATGCCAGAAATCAAGCAGGAACTTTGTAGAATTGAGCCCCCACATCGATAAACTACAAACTCAAGGCCTAGGCCACCCACCCACTTTTGGTGCGGGCGATGCTCATGCCCCTTGACCTGGATCACTTGGGCAGGTCGACCCAAGCCGGAGGCCTGCTTCAATACAGCCATCAGGGCCCCATCACTGAGGATGAGCACTCGCGGCTACGGCGTACCGGCGCAACGTGTCATGCTGTTCACGAGGCCGGTTGGCTTACTCACAGGGCGCAGTCTGGCCATCCTTTGTGGCATTGCTAGCAAGGCTTGACAATCACGAGTGCTGAGAAATCAGCAAGTTTTTGCACCATATTCGCCAGGGCGAATGCTGCCTGCATTTGGTGACAAGCATCTAAGTAGGTCATGCTGCAAATGGCAGCGCCTCATAGATAGTCCGCCCGCAGCACGCATGTTGAAGGAGCGGGCTATTGGGCTGCCAGCAAAGGTGTCAGAAGTCTCCACAGGCCTCATTGTTTGGGTCCAAGTTTGCTGGCAGGGCTGTAGAAGGCTACAAGCGGAGCAAAAAAATTGAACACAGGGAGAACCATTCTGAGGAGGGCTGCTTGGCCGCCAACACTGCCCAAAACCAAAACTGTCTATCTCGTTGTTGGTTTGCTCGAAAAAGGTGCCTCTACATGTGGCTGACCCCGGACATGATTGGGGGACTTGTCCTGAGGAGTGATAAGGATTGATAAGGCATTATCCTTGCATGGTCGGGCAAGCAGTATCTAGAGAAGCGCAACGTTGGTGCAGCGGATGGGAGCTTTCTCTGCGATACATTGTCGCCGAATTGTCGCTGTACTCGCGCAGTCCGAAGCAGCGGTCGGACAGCTGTGGCCGAATTCGCGCATCGATGTGGTTGCATACCTGCACCCCTGTCTAGCTGTTGTCAGCAAGGAGTGGATGTGGAAAAGCTGGTGGAGAATAACAGGTCCACGCGAGCAGAACATCGGATTTGAAGATTTTGCAAGAGGTTCATAACATGGACAAAGACGTTTTCCCGCTCCTTCAACATGCGTGCTGCGGGCGGACTATCTATGAGGCGCTGCCATTTGCAGCATGACCTACTTAGATGCTTGTCACCAAATGCAGGCAGCATTCGCCCTGGCGAATATGGTGCAAAAACTTGCTGATTTCTCAGCACTCGTGATTGTCAAGCCTTGCTAGCAATGCCACAAAGGATGGCCAGACTGCGCCCTGTGAGTAAGCCAACCGACGTTCTTGTCATTGCTGGATTGACATTGCTGGAGTCCGGCTGAGTGGATGGATCGGTGGAGTCTGCTCTTGCTGGATCCAAGCCCCCCAAAGTGCTAAGGACCGTGCCAGACTTGACCCTCCTCTTATCTGACAGCAAGAGCAGGCTCCCACATTGCTCTTGGAGAGGCACAGGATATTGTTGAGGAAGGGCTTGAAGGAAAGGGCGCCCACAAAGGCAGGCAGCTCATCGCGCGAAAATGCATCGAGAAAGGCCAAGCCCACGAAGAGGAACAATCCAAACGGCAGTGAGCGACTGCAGGTACCCAGGCCCCCTGATCCCTGCCTCTCAGGTCACCTCATCCCCTGGTTCCCTGGTCGCTTGTGGTCCATAGCCTCATTCCCTGATCCCCAACCCAACCTGTTTTATTGCAGGTTGTGGCTCCGTGCGCAATGTAGCGCATTCGGACCGGTGGCTTGCAAATCTTCAGATGGCTCTAGCTAAATAAATGTGCAGCAACTCGTTTCGCACACCACGCGGTACTCACTACGGCCTGAGCCCACCAATGCATTATGTGTGAGCCACGGGTCACGTGCAGGGATCGGTGGAGCCATCGGTTTCGACTGCCACGACCTGTGTCCTTTCATGGAATCTTAGGTTTTCAAGGAATCTTCTGCGTCAGGCCAAGGATCCCACGCGACCCGGAGCGGATGGCTGCCGCCTTAGAAAGCCGTCTTAACGAAGGTGTGTTTTTTTTTTTTTTTGTGATTCGTTCCTTTGCTTTTTGCAAAGGCTCAGGGACAGAAGGTTGGCAAGGTTCGGCTTCCGATGCCTGGCCAGGCCTTCCAGTGTCCAGAGTGTGCCCTCTGATGGTTCTGCGAGCTTCTGCGAGCTGCAGAAGTGGACTACCTTGGCTTGGGCGAAATCAAGCTGCCTCCGTTAATCCAGGCAACGATACTCCAACACTCACATGCATCCTTGCGTTTTTCCTCGGCAGCGCCGATGCAAGGAGATCCTGAATCAATGCTCTGGCATCGACTGCTGAACCTGCACTGTTGGCAGTCAGTGTTCTGCCTTGAATCTGTCAGCATCATAGCCACCCGCCAATTCGCAGCTGTAGAGTGGCCGTCGCATGTACAATATCTGCCAACATGAGCCGTGAGCAGCACGAGCTCTGCGTAGTCCTAGCCCTCTCCGCTGAGAAATAAGCTGCAGAGCCACTGTCAGCACATGCATCTGTACAGGCTGCCTGGACGCGCTGCCATCCTTTGAGCAGGTGGCTTTCACAGGCTAAGGCTACGTAAGGACTATTGTATTGGGACATGTTGTGGCATAGAAGCTAAAGCCTTGTGGAAGCCATTCCAGCACATGTTGTTCAGTGGCATAGTGTTTTTGGGCATGCAATGCAAGCAAAGACATCACCATTTGTTGTAACTCAACATTTGCGCACGACGGCACGGGCTGTGACCTGCGGCTCTCTGTGTGTGCAAGCCTGAGATGAATTTCATCCAGATTGCAGAGACTTCCCTTTGCTGTGTGGTTGACTTGAAGCAAGTCGTTCTTCAGAGCGCATGGCCTCGAGTTTCAGGTTTCGCATGGGTACGCTGCTCCTGTAGGTGCCCGCATATCTAAGTTGGAGTTCCGTTCCGAGCGGTCAACCTGCTGGGTTGCTTGAGGTTGCCATGGGCAATGGTCTAGCTCGCGTCGTCTTCCAGCCTCCCCAAGCGTCGCAGACGACTCAACATGACTCAATGTGTATTGCCGCAACCTGCAGTCTTACCACATTCACTGCATTGCAGGTATGGCAAAGATCCAAACCTCTTTTGGTTGACGACTTCCAGAGAAGAGGCCCGGCGAGCATCTAGATTTACATCAACACAGGTTCTCAGCAGGTAAAGTTTAGGTTTCCGACTGAAAGGTCATCCCGGCATTTTTTGTCCGACGACAAGACGCAAGGCTGTTGCCCTGTCCGCCATGGTGTCTCGTTCACTGCTCCAATGCTTTGGCTGAGTTTCACGCTCCTCTTCAGCCACGGCAATGCCGAAGATCTAGGGCTGATTATCCGGTTCCTGGCTCGAGGGCCCTCCAGCTTTGTCCAGCTCAACTGAGAGAGTGCTAGGTACTTTCGAGAGCTGAGCCACATCCTGCACGTCAACGTCTTTTCGTATGAGCATCCTGCTTGGAAAGAAGTATGGCCCAGATGGACAGGGTGAAGAGCTGAGCCAAGGTATACAGGGTATGGCATGAGCACCGGCCAGCCCCAGGACAGCTGGCCTTTGGCCTGGAAGTGCACTGACGTCTGCCGGCTTTTAATGGTTAGGAGGCAGCCGTGTACGCGGACATCGAGGCAGCCTTCAAGCGTCTTGGCGTTTCCCCATGTGCAGTTTATCTACGGCCTGCAACGCATGATGACATCCAAGGTACCTGCGGGATGAGCTTCGCAGAACACTGAGCTTCGATGCAGGCATTTTTCTGAGTAAGTTACCTCCTGTTCCCAGGCATTCCTTGGACGCAGATCGTGCCCTATGGTCGATCCATTGGAACAGCGCCGTCCATCCACCTTGCCACCACCACCCCGGTACGGGGAGTGGCCGCAACCTTAGGGCCTTAGGAGAGCTCCTGATGCGTCAGCACATCCTGGCACCAGATACTTCAGAGCCCCATGGTGTCCATCTACAGGATACCGTCAGAGACTCAAAAGGAACCAATTTCCACAGCAAAGAACAGCCTTGACTCCAGGTTTCGTTTACGGTTCACCTTGCCGGGGGATGTCTTCACGAACATTGACAAAATTGGTTGCGTGTCCGCACAGGGTGAGTGGGCGTGGGACTGGCCAGGGAGAGAGGCCCGAACTCCAAAGGCTTGACTTCAACTAGGATGAGAGTTCAGAAGCATGATTTGTTGATGCTGTTCCACTGGCTGGAAAGGCAATGTTTGCTGCCCCGTGCCACTGGCCTGCACAATGTACAGTTGGCTTGCATTCCAACAGAGCAGTTTGCTTTGGACTTTCGTCATTGAGGTTCATCATTCATGGCACCAGGGATGAGATAGTTCCCGTTTGGCATGGACAGGCGATCTCTGCTGACACGCAGACACTTATGAGTGACGACGCCCTCAGGTCCTCTACGAAGCATGCGTGAAGAAGGGAATTGCGTACGATGCCTTCGTCATCGAGGCCATGCCCCCGCATGAAATGGACTTGGGTACTTGATGTGGACGTCCAACAAAGACCTCGCGCATCGGGCATGTGCTGCGAGGGTGCGGACCACAACAACCTGGAGATGCAGGCTCGACAGCCTAATGAGATTTAGCCGGTCTATCAGCCGATTACCAGTGACCTGCAATCTTTCGAACATTCCTCCACGAAGTGGGGGCGCGACTTCTCTTTGAATGGCTCAGGGCTCAAGGAGGGAACGACCATGGCGACTCCTAAAAGCAGCCCTGGAAAGAAGAAACAAATAGGACCATAGGAACTGAGCCGATGGTAGTGACAATGGGAGGGCCGAGCTCATCAGGGCATGCCGCTGAGAATCTCCCAAACCATCGCTTGGACACACCTATTGATTTCAATGGCAGATCTGGCTGGATCTGGGCGCATTTCAGGATTTGGCGAGAGTACAGTTTGCAACATGGGTTCGGCAAATGGTCTCCGAGGCAGGGAAAGCGAGAATCAGGTTTCCTCAGAAGATAAATCTGTGGGCAACGCAGGACGGTATGCAAACGACCGGAGAGCCCTGACCAGAGGTGCTGCCCGATTTAAGTGCTTCCACCGCTGAACGGCAGATCGCAAGACAGGACACACCTGCTACGCAAGCAGGGAGTGACGGTATGAGTGCATGCTCCATATGACTTCATCACTGAGAAGATTAGTGCATGGCCCTGGCAGACTTCTTCCCGTGAGAAGGTTACGGAAGATTACAGAATCTCTGGGATTCCGAAGTCAGATCAATTTTTCTCGAAAGGATGCGCGAAGTTTGTGGCTGAGGCTGAGGCATTGGCGCTCAAGAACGCGGGCGCTCATCTTGACATCAGATTTTCTACTCCGAGGGTGAGCGCAAGAGTGAGGGAAGAACGGGAAGGAGGCTTTCTGCCTCGGGTCTAACTTTCAAGGCTGCGCAGTGGCTGCATTCTGGATGGGTCTCAGGAGTCAAGAAACTCCCTTGAGAGGTGAAACCCTTCCCTTCCCCTACTGCAGATCCACATTCCTGGAAGCAAGGGAGCAAGGGAATCAGGACCATCCACCTCTTCAAGCCGACAGGCTTGTCGGTCCTTCAGACCAGTGAAGTACGCGCAGAAACTCAAAGCAACACTAGTTTCGGATCACTCCTGCAACTTGTGCCGTTCGGGCTCCTAAATTCAGCATTGGAACAAGAGAGGGGGCAAACGAACTTGCATGCGTGGAGCCCCGAAAACAAGATAGAGGGCAGATGTCGCCCGGACAAATGTAGTGTGTAGAACAGAGCATTCCAGCCCTCAAGGATCTCGAAAGTCGCAGGGTGTTAGCCCCAAGAGCCCAGCATGAACGTGGCAGCCGGCCGAAGAACCGGCTCAGCGGATGCGCACCCGGGCGCCTTGAGTCTTGAAGAGTCAGCGTGCAACGTAACGTCTCAATTGCTGGCGGGCACCGATGCCTTTAACAACTAGCTTCAGGCGAGGGACGGACACGTCTGGCTTGGGGCAGCCGGTCACCACCGGAGTCGCTTGAGTGACGCAATGGCATTGGGATTGCAAACTTGGACAACATCCTATGCAAAAATGCAAGCTACCTAGGGGCGTTGCCGGCAGTGCCACGCAGTGTGAGTTGGCAGACGCGGTGAACTTCGGAAGGGCCACGCGTCTCAGGTCCTCCCGGATGCACGTGAGTCCTTGTCGCTTTAGGTTTAATGCAGAGTAGTTCGGCTAATTTGACGTGATGCAACAAAATCGGTATTATCCTACTGCATCGCCTCTCAAATGGCCTGAGATTGTTGGCTAAGGTGTTGAAGCACCACTGGCAGCAGCAGTTCCCACCCATTGTCAACAACGGCAATCAGGAATTCCTGCCGTGGCTGAAGATGAATAAAGGATGATTACTTCAGATGTGGCACGTTATTTCCAGATGATGACCTGCCGCAGCCGAACATCGTAATCGCAGCCAGGCACGGTGCAAGGTCCTCCTCCTGCCGCTCTTGCTGAAGGGTAGCATGGCTAGCCTGTAATGCAGCCGAGCCATTCGCGCGGACATCCGTCGAGACCGTCCGGCTCTGTCCAACTGGCGGCACCTCAGCGTCTGTGCCGTCAGCCGCTCCTCCCTGTGTACGCCGGCCATGAGCCTTTTGCCGCTACCATTCGTTCCCCTCCTGTTTGCGTCAAGCCTGTCCCTTCTGCGCGCGGCGCTTCACAAGCCACGTCCATTCACTTGCCCACGCCTGCTCTTTAGCCTTCATCCTCCCTGCGGGTGCGGCTCCCCGGTGCCGCAGCCAGCGCCCTGCACGCTCCCTGCCCTCAACCATTGCCAGAGGCGGGATTTCACGCCAGAGTTCAATGCCATGTTTGCCTCTCATGCAGCCGCCTTGGGACCCTTTGTCAGGGCTTGCTGGGAGTCCTGGCCGAGTTACCCTTTACAAGCTGCTGCCCAGACTGCTTGCTAGGCAGGGCGCATCCTGGCACAAACAATCACGCAAGTGGGCCGGTGGGAGCGCGCAGAACTGCTCTGTTTGAATGCTGGTTGCCCCGCTCTACAACGGCGCCCACTGCCGCTGCCGGCCGGCAGCCCCGCAATGCCGCACCTCCAGTCCTGCCCGACCTCGCTAGCATTTTCAATACCAACATCCCGGTGCTTCGTCATGTCCCCAAGGCTGCCCGAAGTGCCTGGGCGCGATGTTTGGCTCGCGCTCTCAGCAATGTAGCCGTCCACAACTCCCTCCTTGCTTGGCGCGAGCTCCTCATGCTGCCAAGGCTGTGCTTCGCCCTGCCCCGAGTGGGGGGGGGGCCGGCGCCGTGAGCAGGCCGCTCACTTCACCCAACGCTGCTGCGCTTGCTGGCTTGAGCGTGAGCAGGAGGAGCTTTGGCAGTCACAGGCTCCTCGGCGCCGAGCAGCCGTCGACTTCCGTGTATGTGCCGCTCTTGTCGATCCACCTCTCTTCGGTGACTTGTCTGAGATAGTCACGGCCCTCCAATCCAAGCATCCGCACACCCCTCCTGTTTTTGGGGCCCGTGTGCCAACAATCATCCGCTGATGTTGTCGAAGCAGCTGGCAGTGCTCTTCCCACCGGCCTCCGAACAGACCATGTGGGAGAGGCGCCGTTGTCGGCCCACTCCGACGAGGTTGCTGCCCCTCTCACGGATATCATCCGCATTCTCGTCCTTGGCGAGGCGCCTCTTGAGCTGGCCCCCCCCACCATTTGCTGTGGCGGCAAGACGTGCTTGGTCGGGTGAACTGTTGGGCCTTTAGGTGAGGATTGCTGTCCTTCGGTGCTGAAGTCGCAGCAGTGGATGCAGCGCACACCATGTTGGAAGGCTTTTGGAACTATCGACCGCGCTGCCATGCCCCGGCAAGTCGGCGCTAGTACATGCCAGGACTTGCGCCGTGGGCCAGTGGGTGCTGCGATCACCAATCTTCCACACAGTTCCACTCTGGACTCTGCGTCCGGGTCCAGCAAAATGACCCCTCACCCTGCTCCTTGCTTTACACCCTGCGCTGCAAGCCGCCGCTGCAGGCTCCCCCATGGCAGCAGCCTGACCTTGCCTTCGCCTTCCTGGACGACGCGTGCCTCGTCGGCTCTTGCCAAGTTGCCGCCGGCCTCGCACCGGGGACCAGGCGTACACTGAGACCTTTACTGCTGCTGGAGGCATTGTCCGGGTTGCCGGACCCTCAAACTCCTCCTCCTCCTGCACCACTTTGCCCTCAGGATCACCCCTGCGCAGCTCTTGATGCTGCCTCCATCTGCCGCTGCAGCTGTCTGGAAAACTTCGGCTCCCTTTCCACTGCCGCATGCATGCGGCCACTGCATATGTCGCGTCCTTGAGCGCTACTCGCCGTGGCCCCTTGCTGTTGCTGCCATTGCCCTCTTCAATCAGCTAGCCGTGCACGGCTCTTGGACTTACATCACTTCGGGTCCTGCTCCGGCTCGGTTGCGGCTCCTGGCCTGCCCGAGTGGCTGAATGGTTCGGCGACCACGCCCAAAAGCGGACTATCCACAACCGCCTCCGCTCCGTGTTGGCAGCCAAATCAGCCAAGACCCATGCAAGGGGCTTCCATCCTAAGGTTGAGAAGCCCGGCCTGTTGCCGTCTCGGTCCGAGCAGGAGCGCGCAGCTGCCGACGTCTATGTTCCTCGTAGGCCCCGGCCTTTGACTTGGCCGTGACTGCTGGCCTGCGCCATGGGACCCTGCATCACCTTATGTCTGAAGCTCACAAGCCCGCGATGGACTACGAAGCTCGCAAATTGCACACACAGGAGCTTTGCTCAGTCCAAGACGTCTGTGGAGGCCAGTCGGCTTTACGACATGCTGGCTGTGACTCTGCAGCGGGAGAACGCTCGGGCTGTCCCGCAACCCAGGGGCGCTGCGCCCTCGTCGGTCACACGCCCATCGTGGGCCTCCGCTTGGGTCCGTCAAGCTCTGCGCCTGTCTGCCTGACCCGTACCTCCCGCTCGAGGATGCAGTTTCACGGCGCTGTACGGCTGGGCGCGCCGTTGGCGACTGGCTGTTCCCCCTAAGGCCCGTCGCCAACAGCTCGCCTGTTTCCCCGCCCCGCTGAAGGCCTACCCCCTTTCACCTTCAGTGGGGACGTGCTCGAAGAGTATGTGGTCAAGAATAACATGGACGGATCTGGTGCTCAAGGGATACCGCGACCAAAGGCTGTAGTTGGGCATGTGGGTTGCCGATTGTTTGCCGCCGTGAGGTGACGAGCAGAAGTAACGTGTGATTGCAGACATTTAAATTAAACGCTCGCGACCTTCATGTGTTTGGAAAGCCAAAGAAATTGGTCTGCTGGACCAAAATGTCAGCGCCCCAATTGCCTCACCAGCGAGGCTGGTAGGAAGATCGATGTGCCCCAGTACCTTAGAGAACGAAGCACGAGTCAGGAAAAGGGAAAGGCACGAGTCAGGAAAAAGAAAAGGGACGAGTCAGGAAAAAGAATGGCACGAATCAAGAAAAAGGCAGAGTCGGGAGCAATTTCACAAGTCAGGAAAAGCAAAAGGCACGAGTCACGAAAAAGGCCGCGAGCCAGGAAAAACAAAAGGCACGAGCCAGGAAAAACTCCTCGAGTCAGGAAAATTCATGGCACGAGTCAGGTAAAACCTACGAGTCAGGAGAAAGGCAGGTACC